AATTATCTGCGAGCGCTTTCGACAGCTGGTCGTGCTGTCATCCTCTAGGCCCTACTCTATAGAGTAGAGTAAACCTTCAGATCTGAATGACTTAAAATTAAAAGAACGAATAACGCTTGCGATTAGGTCGGTCACGGCTGATATGTTAAATAATATTAGAAGACAGTGTTACTTGAGATTAGGATGTTGCCAAGACGTTCGCGGTGAACATTTTAAACATCTACTTCATTAACATCCATAGTTCTTTTTCGTATTCTACATTTCATTACGTTTTGCATTGCATTTTAGTTTTTGAGTGTATTTTATCGAATTTCGGTAACCACATGATTTCAATTTATTTTATCTTAATTGTTGCAATAAACTTGAAAGCGATAACATTTTTGAATAGAGAATGAAGAGACCTTTCAAACGATATATCACAAATCTATACTTCCCATTTAAAAAATTGGGGGTTGTACCTGTCATTTGAAGGAGGTTGAAGGTATGGGTGGCATGTTTACGTTGAAGAATGTCAAATTATAATCAACATTTGATGTGTTTCGGGATTTTTGAAATATATACAGTAACCGAAATAATGAATGTATTCCATTTGGCTTTTACACAGTATGTGTATATCAACATTTACACATTACTGATTCAAGTTTTTCATATGTATGATTTGAAAACGTCATTTATTCTATCTAACTATCCATATTTCAAATCAGAAAATACCCTACCTTTTCTTGCTGAATCTTATGGAAATTTTTGCCAAAGCATCTGACACCTGACTCAAAATTTCGGCATTCTTCCTCAGACCAAAGAGATTCGTTCATATTTTCTGCTCCATTAGCTGGTACTGTAATTCTCAAACGTCTCAAGCCTTCTTCAACATTATGACCACATTGCTGAAGCATATACAAGGCTTGTTCATCATCACGAAGTTGAGTACCAATTGGAATAGGTGGTTTTGTGATAGTATAGGCCTTTTTCAGGAAATCTTCAATTCTCTCATTTTGCATCACAGAAGGATCCCAGAGGAGTTTATCTTCATTCTCATATGGAAGTGCATCATCATAGTGACATAGTCCTACCGGTATTTGAGCTTGATAGTCACTTCCAACCATTATGGTCTGAAAAAATTTTAATTTTTCAATGGAATTTTGAAAGCCTTGTGCAGTTTTGCCATATCCCAAAAAATATTAAACTAAAACCATGATTGATCAGCTTCAATTTAATGGAAAGTGTTGAAATTATAGAAAATATATGGGAACAATCTATTGAGAAAATAGTGAATCCTTAAGAAAATGATATGAATATTACGGTACCAATAACAATATCAAGAACTGCTGACTAAGTGATATACATTGCAGACAATCTATAAAGTTGCCGCTTGTCTCACTCGAATCTGAGTCAGATGTTAACTTTTCTCTACGACCCCTGAAGGCCAAATTGTGAGATGCTAAAAAATTCACGATTGCGAGTAATCGTTCTAAAATATCTCTCCAATCTCTCTCAATAGTAGAACAGCTTTTTAAACCATTCTCTAAATTAATCCATTTCAACATACAATCCTTGTGCTGTCGAGTAGATTCGTGAGACTTTAGGTAATCACCAAAGTGTTCCCAATCACATACTCCTTCACTTGATCCAATCTTTGTATTTTCTATCCCGAATATTCTACACGGAAAGCAGTAAACGGCATCCTTTGTTTGTGAATAAATCATCCAGCGCCTGTCAAGCTTTTCACCGTTAACTGATATCTTATTGTAATGATATTCGCTGAATCGCCGTCCATTTTCATTTACGAGAAATAAATCAACTTTAACCCGGATTGGACCTTTTAATATAATCTCAGTTCGGTCTACATCAGTAATTGTTATGGGCCACACCCCGGGGTCATTTTGATGATTCAGATCTTCCATTCCAGCAGTCATTACTGTAGACATAGACTCGGGCTCAGATTCGGGTTCTTGACTGGATAGCGTTGAAGGCGGCACCGCCTAAGAGACAATGATGTAGGTAATTCATCATCATCCTCGCTGTTTTTACTTGATGACGGCGGCGGCACTCATGATGATGTGGAAAGAATGCTTTCAGCTGGATGAGGATTAGAGTCAGAGTCACTTTCAGTTAATAAATGTTTTGTAGAGGTTTCTGTTTCTTGATCACCACTTTTTATATATTTATATAAAGATCCACGTAGATTTTCTTGTACCTACTTTCTTTTCATAGCTCGTTTCCTTTTTGAACTACCTGACTCAAATTTTCTACCGGCATCACGATCATGCGAACTCATTTCGTGAAACCCCCGTTTCTAATTATAAATGTATTTTTCAATAATTAACAAGTTGTAACAAAATATATGATCTGAGGAACTCGATTACTTAAACTAACTAACAGGAGGATATTATAACAACTAACTTTGTTTATTACCAAACTGTTTCAGGTAAACTATGGTATTGAAATTGGTAATTTAAGGGCCTAGGTAAGATTAGTTCTGGAAAATATTTATATTGTAAAACTCATAAAAATATTAGTTTATATTACTACATAATGAATTTTAGAATCATGTTTTGAATGAATGAATTAGTAACTTTATTTTAATCTGTATTTTTTTAAATTTACTTGAGTTGCTGCGCGAGGCCTCTCCAAGAGCGAGGCCCCGGGCGATTGCCCCGTTCGCCACCCCCTAAGGCCACCTCTGTGCAGCACGTCAAATGAAAGGAGGAATGTTGATTTTATTAACAAAGAAAAACAAAGAGGCAGTCAGGAGGGAACTAAACAGCATCTTCATTGATAATAGTCGGATCGTCACGTACACCACGTCAAATGAAAAGGAAATGAAAGCAGTACTCATCGACATAGAAAAAACAAGGATGGCACAATATGTCAGAAGTACACTAACCCGCATTTCAGTTAATAATATTCGGATCATCAGGTACAGCTCGTCAAATAAAAGGGCAACGAATGCAGAATGTATCGACAGAGAAAACACAAAGATGGTGTAACATGTCGGAAGGGCACTAATCCCGTTCGTTAGTGATAGTTGAATCTCACCGTGGTGCAGCACATTAAATGAAAGGGAAAGAAATACAGAATTCATTGACAAAGAAAAAAACGAAGACGATGCCAAGTTGTATCTTCGCTAATAATAGTCGCATCATCACATGTATTACTTCAAATAAAAGGAAAAAGAAAGCAGAATTCATGTGTTTGTTGACCTTCTCTATTCATGCCCAAGGTGACATGGATCAATATCAATGCTGAATCAACCAACATCCGGAGATACGCACTTCTCAAAGCGAAAGACCATTTATTTATTTTATGTTTCAGTTTAAAATATGTCATCACTTATTTTACTAAAGATACGTCCTGCGTAGCTAAATGAGTTAGCTGTATCAGTTGAAAGTGATGCCAGTGCACCGATTCTATTTGAAAGGAAGTGTTTTTGAGTTTGACTTTTTTCTCAGATGAGTTTATTCAAATATGATTTAATTAATGGTTGGTGAGAGTTGTTGAATTATCATCTAATTTCCAAATTTTTTCTCAAAATATATTGGATGATTTCAGTCAAATGTTTTTCATGTCGTCGTTTGTTTGAGATAGTGTTCGTACAATTTGTAATTCAAAACATAAACTTCTTTTATTTTTAGTTTTTCGCAGATGGATTTACAAATATTGAATGTCAGTTCGGTTGTGAACAGGAAGCTAATTATCAAAATAGCAGATTTGCCTGTGGAGACGCCGCAGAGGATATTCACCGCCAAAATCGTGATAGGTGAATTTGGTGAGGCGGTCTTGTTGAATTTGGGTGAGAAAATACCATTTTTGCCAAACCAAGTGACGGGGAGGTATCGCCCCCATTTAGAAGAATTTTCATCAAGAAAATACGCTGTTGTGTTCAAATGGTTGATGGACATTGGGAAACCGAATCGTGTTGTTTCATTTGAAATTGTACGAACGTAAGGTTAGTATTGTTTCCCAGTTTTTCTCCGTTTATTACGCAAAGAGTTTGTGGTTGTTTACAATATTTTTTGTTCGGCTAAAAAATTCTCATTCCGGCATCTCCATATGCAAATCTGCTGCTTTGATAATTGGCTTCATCTTCACGAGCGAACTAGCATTCAATTTTTGTAAATTCATCTGTGAAAAACGGAAAAAGAAGTTTATGTTTTCAGTTACGAATTATACGAACACTATCTCAAACAAACGACATGAAAAACATTTGACTGAAATCATCCAATATATATTGGGAAAAAATTTGGAAATTAGATGATAATTCAACAACGCTCACCAACTTTTGATTAAATTAAATTTGAATAAATTCATCTGAGTCAAACTTAAAAACACTTACTTTCAAATAGAATCGGTGCACTTGTCACTGGTATCACTTTCAACTGATACAGCTAACTCATTTAGCTACGCAGGACGTATCTTTAGTAAAATAAGTGATGACATATTTTAAAATGGAACAGAAGAAAATAAAAGTATGTTTCGTCGTTTGGACAACTGCGTATCTCCGGATGTTGGTTGATTCAGCATTGACATTGATCCATGTAGCCTTGGGTATGAATAGAGGTCAACAAACATATGAATTCTGCTTTCTTTTCCCTTTTATTTGATATGCTTCATGTGATGATGCAACTATTATTATCGATGATACAACTCAGTGCCCTTTCGGCATCGTCCTCGTTTTTTTCTTTGTCAATGAATTCTGCATTTCTTTCCCTTTCATTTAATGTGCTGCACCACGGTGAGATTCAACTATCATTAACGAAGATGTGGCTTAGTGCCCTTCTGACATGTTGCACTATCTTTGTGATTTCTCTGTCGATACATTCTGCATTCGTTTCCCTTTCATTTGACGTGCTGTACATGACGATCCGAATATTATTAACGAAGATGCGGGTTAGTTGACATATTGCGCCATCTTTGTTTTTTCTTTGTCGATGAGTTCTGCATTCGTTTCCTCTTCATTTGTCGCGGTGTACGTGACGATCTGACTATTATTAACGAAGATACGGTTTAGTGCCCTTCTGACTGCCTCTTTGTTTTTCTTTGTTAATGAAATCAACATTCATCCTTTCATTTGACGTGCTGCACGTGACGATATGACTATTATCAATGGTCGGTCGGTAGCCAAGCGGTTCGGCGTGGGTTCTTTGTTAACTCACTCGAATTGACTGCCGTGTTGGTCGGTGGTTCAAGCCCTAGTCTGAACGATAGATTTTCACTTGCTATCGTCCAACCCGTGTTAGGAATCACACGTTAAAAGATAAGACCTTGTTAATCCTTATCTCGCACAAGTTTCGACTTCTGAGGGTTGTCTTTCGTAGGGATGCGACAGCTGGGTAACGGAAAAAACAGATTTTTAAACAGAACAGAACAGAATGGAGATGTAACTTGGTGCCCTTTTGACATATTGCATGCCATCTTTGTTTTTTCTTTGTCAAATATTTCTGCATTCCTTTCCCTTTCATTCGACGTGATAAACATGTCGATGCGACTATTATTCGTTTCTAGGCATTACGATTGATGACAAATTAAGCTGGAGAAATCATCTTGACCTTGCTGTTCGCAAATTATCTTGTGCTCTCTTCGTTCTCAGAAGGTTAAAACTTGTAACGAACCCTTATATTATGAGAATATCTTACTTTTTCTTTTTTCATTCTGTACTTTCCCCTTTGGGGAAACTCTACTAACGCAATTGCTGTTTTCAGATGCCAGAAAAAAAGCCATATGCATCTTGGCTAACCTGGGATACAGAGACCACTGCCATCAATTTTTTATTCGTCTGGGTAGTATGCCTCTGCCTACTTTATATATTTATACTGTTCTACTAGAAATACATAGCAATAGAGATACTTTACTAAAAAACTCCGACATCCATAACCACAATACCAGATCAGCTGACTTACTAAATACTCGTCATCACAGATTATCTTTAACAGAAACTCCCTAAATCTGAATCTATATAACATTCTCCACCACTCTATCAAAATATTGGAATTCAAAAAATTTAAATTAGTCCTAAAAAACTACCTACTAGACAATTGCTTTTACATTATGCCTCTTGGCATCATCTTTGTTTGTTTTTCTTTGTCGATGAATTCTTCATTCGTTTCCATTT